CATTGCGCAGTTCTGACCTGTGTTCTGCTCAAAATCATCCAGAAGTTTGTCCAGATCGCACACAGCGGCCTTGAAGAATGTATCCATCCTGGGGGAAGAGAGGCTACACTCAGCCCTCTGCACCTAGAGAGATGGGACAGGAAGCATGAAGGCACACATACAACCATTAAACAAATACATCAGCAAGGCATGAAGCAGCTCCATCAATCGGGCATCGGAAAATTAACTTTTCCACAGCAAATAGATAATAAGAAGCAAGTTCAGCTATTAGTAAAAACCTCATCCAAACCGGGTTTATGACCATGTTATTCAGCATTTACCATAGTACGTCACAAAGGAGACCATATAAAACGTATTTTAATGTTCACTAAAACCGGACAATAAAAACAACACTGAAAAAGGTGGAATGCTTTTAAGGATAACATCGAGTGGATCATCTTACAAAATAAGAGCCATGCCATGACAGCGTTTCTCTCGGGATAGAAAAAGTTCTCTCTTACAAAACAACCTTCCCCAAATGTATCACCTCTGTGGACTATCTGGCGTTTTCGCCAAATTATAACACCAACTTCTAAAAGTCTGGTAAATGATAACACAGGTCTACAATTTTTTTTTTTTTCAGGTGCCAAGGTTTTTTTTTTTTATGGATTTAGGGTATTTTGAGGGTGCTGAATTCAAAAATCACATTACTTTTGCTGAATTGGTTCTAGTTTTTGAGATAATGGACATATTAAGATACACAAAATACCCATGCTGCATGTGCCTCTGGAATAGCAGGGCAAAGCAAGGTCATTGGACAAAAGTGTCATGGGAAGAAATGATTGTTGCGGCTGCGAATATCATCAACGAGCCGCTGGTGGACAAGAACAGAATCATTCTCCCACCGCTTCATATTAAGCTGGGATTGATGAAGCAGTTTGTTAGGGCTTTGGACAAAACGGGAAAATTGCTTCAGGTACATTTGTAGATCATTTCCTGAACTGAGCATGGAAAAACTAAAAGCTGGAATCTTTGATGGTCCTCAGATTCGTAAACTCATGAACGATTCCAATTTTACCAAATGCATGAATGACATCAGTGTCATTCATGCATTTGGTAAAATTGGAATCGTTCATGAGTCTGGAAGAGAGTTTTGTCTCCGTTGTGAAGAACTACTTGGGTAATCACAGAGCAGGCAATTATGAAGAATGGGTGCAAGATATGCTTGCTAACTTCAGAAATTTGGGAGTTAATATGAACATAAAGATCTCCATAGGCATTTAAACAGATCTCCAGATAACCTTGGAGACTTCAGCGAGGAACAAGGCGAGAGGTTCCACCAGGATATGAAGGTGATGGAGGAGAGATATCAAGGCAGATGGGACATACACATGATGGCAGACTACTGTTGGAGTCTCCAACGTGATTGTCCTGATGACACACATAAAAGGAAATCGCATAAACAGCGTTTTTTTGAAGCACTGACATTAATAACAATTAATAACTAATATTGTGTTAATTTTTCAAATCATACATAACTTTTTCCTGTCAATGTTAAATATTTTTAATTTCTTTTTTGTATGATGTTAGACTGTTTACTTACTAGTTGTAACTAAAATAAAAATATTCTTGCAATTCTGAATGCTTTTCAAACGTGTTGCGTTAGTTAATTAATTAACTATTAAATATCTCAGAAACTAGAGCCAATCTGGCAAAACCGAAGTCATATTCTTAATCAGCACCATAAACTTAATATAAAGCCGTTTAGACATCGTTGGCACCAAAATCACTGTATACCAGTGTAATCAGTGCTGTAAGGGAGCGTGACTGGACAGCAGAATGTCAAGGTTTGGACAAAGAAAGACACCGTATCGCAATCTCAAAATGGTTGGATAAGGAAATGCTACAGAATGGCCCTTAATTACAAAAAGGGCTGGTTATCTCAGCAGAAGAGTACAATCCCATAAGAAACATTCCCTCAGTTTTAACAAGGATACTTTACTTAGAAAATGTTGATGGAACAATTACTCTGTGCACCACAGAATCCATTTTCTAACCCCTTACACCGTCCAGAGTCACGGGGGACTGAGTTAGTAATATGCTCTAGTTTATTACATTAACTTCAGATTTAAACCAAGGTGCTTTACGGTCTTGGAAAAAAAGCTAAAAAAAGTACTTCCAAACATGTGGAAAGTTATCACAGCACTCTGCTCAAACAGGTTTTCTTTATTTAGACATGGCTGTTGTCTGTGCCTGGTGCTGATCAGCTCTTGAGGTCCAGCTGTAGTTGTGCCTGGGAGACCTGGATCTAATTAACAAGAAATGAGACGGTCTGTTCAAAAAGAGAACTGACTTGTGCTGTTCAGCAGTAGCAGACTGACTGCTGCGTCACGAGAAAGCCACCAAAAACAGCAGTAAGCAGACTGGGGAAGTTTATTCTCAATCATACAATGCAAAGAATGCGCCTAATACCACTTCAGTCACACAGGAAAGGCTATCAAGCAATCCGTGTCAAAGGGCTTCCTGGTAAAGATATCATACCATAACAGGAGTTTACCCCATTACAGTTACTAACAATCTTGTATCTAAAAACAATGTAACTTTAGAGCAAATAAGCTGCATTAAAGTACATTAACCATCACTGTACGATTATTAAACAAGTAAAACACGTTTGATTACACCTTTACTCCCTGCCCTAGTCTTTAAAAAGATGGAAGAATACACGTACGGTACTGCTTGGAAATATAGGAAGGGATGTAATTAATTGGTGGAAATCATCCAAAATAAACAAGCAGCAGCAAGCTACTAAGCAACATATATAAAGATCAGTTAGACAACAATGGTTTTATTTCGTTTACCAATCAAATTAAATCAGCTTAATCAGAAAATAAGAGCGATGAGCCAATTCCGTTTAGAAGCACTGGAGCTATTTATATTACCTTTTAATGGCATTTTGTACAGTAGGAAAATTCCCCGCAGGGACTTTTTCATACTGACCCCAACTAATTTAGTTAGCTGCCTTTTCCAAAAAGACCCGACCATCTGCCCGCACACCTTGCCAAAAACACAATATTAAACCAAATGCATCGACAAATCAGTTGTGTGTACAAATATGGGGAACAAATGGATAAATATAAAAACACCTGATGGATACGGCTGGAAAAAAAAAACATTTCACTGAACTTGTAAGACTGCACCACAGAACATTTAATCGCTTCTAAAAATCTCATAAATAGAAAGTGAAACTATTAAGCGGCTACGTGTCTAATTATTTACTAGCCGTGGCCCCTTTTTAACCATCATCGAGCTGCTGGTTAGCTGGTACTGGGCTGGTAAAGTGCTGAACACACGAATGCAGTACAAAGTAAGCGCCCCGTTAGCTATGATCGACCCCTCAATACAAAACAACCGGCCTGACTACTCGACATATGAGAAGCCGATCGTTTATCCTACTGGAGAGAAAAAGGGGAAGAAAAACAGACACGATGACAATTTAAAAAATTCACTAACGTAAAAAAAACTGCACCGAGCTTACAGACTTAACGATCAAGATCATTGTACACTTCCTACCAAAATCAAACGTGAAGTGTATAATATATATACCGGAATCAGCTTTCATCTTCTTGAATTTGTATTCCGGCTTTTGTTTCCACAGCTCCTCTGCTTTCCACCGAGTTGTTATATATTTTTTTTTATCTAGAAAAGCCTGACAGTGCGCCGCACGGAGACGCCGCCATCTTGGATTGGCCGTCCGCTCCTTAAAGCGACAGCCGCACGAATTCCTCATTCATTTCCAAAAATACTGTAATCAAATATTTACTTTCAGGGTATGAGCATATGCGTTTGTGGTATTTAAGAAATATCAACAATGCTCCTCCGGTGCGTAATAACTTTAATGTGCGTACGAATGGTTTGTTATAATAATACTTTTGAATTTGAATTAAACCCAATAGAAATTCCGATGGCTAGTTTTGGCAAAATGAACGGACATGACGACGCTAAAGAGGATTTCGGCTCCTGCTTTTTACATATCGAAGACTGGATAGCAGTCATCTGGATTTCGGAGAAGTGTCGTCTGTGCCTCCTGATCTGTCGTAGTATGGAGCGGTGGCTTTAAAAATATCTTTGATGTACTGGTTAAACCCCAAGCAAATATATGTATCACGGTTTCGGGTACTTAATATCTCCCAAATTAATAATCTCTCTGCAAACTTGATAGCCACTTTGCAATAGCTAAGACCACACAGTTTTGGCATTTTCCCAGAGGAGGTTCGACAATGTAATCTCAGTTCAGTAGGCGCTGCTAATGTATTTTAATGTGATTACAATATATCCACTTACACGATCCGAAACGATTTAAAATACATGGAGGAGTTACAATGTGTATGTACCCCCCCTGGTATGTGAACCCAGGATATTTGCGTTGTTAGCGGGACACACTGTCTGTGGAGCTACAAGAGCCGTGACATATGACTTTTGAAATAATGAAGGGTTCAAGAAAATAAAACCGCAAGTGACAATATTCGACGGACCATCCGTTCGCTGGAGAGCGACCTACGCTGGGACCACTAGGGGGCACTACAGCTAAGCTAGCTTTGTTGGGCAGGAACGGCCTGGTACATTTACTAGAATAAATGCTTAAAGGTAAGTACTTTTCCACGGGTCTTAGAAACAGGTTTGGTAATATCCAAGGCATCTTATGTATAATAGAAAATGAAAGCTTGCCCAAATATTACATGGTTTGGTCAGTACCATAGAAACTGAGGAAGAAACTGGAGTTCAGTAACCCATAAAAGTTGTTTGCTATAATTGCGGTCATACTCATGATCTAATTTCAGCAAGAGCACAAGAGTGGCACTTATGCTGGGCAACACTACAGTAATTGAGTTTGAAAATCAGTGTCTGACTCTTGTATCCTACGCATCACCTTGTGTACCAAAACACACAAAGAAAAAGTCATTCAGAAGGCAAGTGTATAGAAAAAAAAAACACAAAAATCATATAAACAACTTCACCCACTCTACATAAAATGCAATTATATTTAACATTGTAGATCCCTGTTATAAAGCACACAACCTGGGCTTTCATCTTTCAAAAATGGCATTACGAGAAACATAAATAGTAAATCCAGAAACAGTTCCAATCAAAACAAAACGTCTAAGTAATTCACAGCTGGGCACATGGCTGTGCTTGCAGTAGGGCTTATCAGTCACTGTCATACTCCTCAATGACAAACTCCTCTTCGTCCAGTAAGGCTTGGGCGCCAGTCGGCTGGGGCTGGCTGGGAGGCAGGTCCGTCGATGCTCCCTGACTGCTGGGCAGTTCTCCAGGGGAGTCAGTTGCTGCAGTCAGTGGTTCTGCTAGTCCCAGGTCGGTGACGGCAGCAGGAAGGGTGGCATCCTCTTCATCGCTCTCCAGGTCCAGCAAACCCGGTTCTTTGTCAGTAAGAGCTTCAAATTTCAGCCTACAGTAACCCATGGGGGGGGGGGGGGGGACAATCATCCAGCATCAGTGATGGCCTAAATTAGGGCAGATTCAATTACAGACCAAATTTTTCCAGTCTGAATAACTAATGTGTGTTCACCTTAACAGGTATAGCAAGAGGTACATTTAATAAAAATAAATAAAACATGCAGCCAGTTAAGAAATCTAATTACATCCAGGAGAAACATGAAAATACAGTTCTGCTCCAGTAATGTTCCGGTTACGATAAAAATGCTAATCTTGCAGTGAACAGTCACTTACACAGGTAACTTTCACCTACCTTCCATGGTGCCTTGTGAGGGGCATTCGGCCGACATCTTGGATGAAAGCTATCTGAGCTGTTCAAAGAGAAACGCAGTTCTGTAAATGCAACATGGGAGAAGCCCACAAGCAAGTCACACTCGGTTTCTGAATGTCTGGTACTTCCTGAACATCCAGATTGGGAAGGAAGCAGAAAGGAAGGTAAGAAAGCAAGGTGCTTCTGCTGCAAACTATATTAGTTTCACCACTAATATAATTTCCACCAAAATGAAATGTCATCTTAAAAATGTGACCTTAAAAAGAAGTCATATCATTATTCCTGAACAATAATTTATGTAGATTAACAGTTATAATTCTCTCTAATTTTTATGTTCCAAGATGTTACCTTTGGTCATCACAGGGTAGGTGAACTTATAAGAAGTGTCTCCATTGTAACACCTCTAAAGCAGAGTAGGCATCTCGCCATGACTTCTCATTTGGCCAGGAGACATTAAGCTATTGTGGGGTGTATCGTTCCCATAGTGTCACTAAGACTGTGTAGTGAGGGTCTTGCCTTGATTCCTCATGGGGTTGGTGAGCTGGGCAAGATATGGCAGCAGCTCTGTCTGAAGGCTGAAGGGCGTCAAGCAAAAGCTGACAAAGAGAGATTTGGCAGCCTGGCAATTTTCTCTGTACTGGGGAAAAAAAAGAGAAGAAGGGAAACTCAGATGCTGAAGTTAATCAGCCAATTGGGTAAGAACTATTTCAAACAAGTTAGTGTTGCTTTTGAAGCAACTGAGCCCATCTGTATGCAAATCGATGTATTCAGTAGCAGCATTGTATGTATACATTTTGCTGTTACATACACAAACATACACTGTACATCTGAGTAGTGAAATGCTTAATCAGTAGGGCTGGGCGATATCACATCAAAATTATTGCGCATGGGCTACTAATCTGCTTAAATTGTGATTGTAAATAATGTCCATATAATTTCGGATAACTGGCATCCAGCCAAATGTTTTGCCTGTCACCTGAAGCCCTGGTTATTATTGAACATGCACGATATAATATCTGTGTGATATCGCCCAGCCATATTAATCAGGTACCTGACATCAGTCCTGCTTTTTACCTTTTTGCTCACGAGTAGCCAATGGGGCTTGTGCAAGGGCCTGAAGCCTGTGCAGGTCTGAGTGACAGTTGAGGCCCGAGCAGCATTGGCGTGCATCAGCCCCCTAGTGGCCACGGAGGAGCTGTACTCCCTCATGGTACACCGCGACTGGAGGAATTAGAGGACACCGGAATGAGGAAGCCACCATTAAAAATGCAGACAGACACAGGAGCTGAGGGAGATCCCTCATATTACTGGTGGCAGTGTCCCTACTCTGTAGTAGCATCTTATCAGAAAAATGCCACAATGACTCATCTGTTGATTTCTGCCAGATGGGACAGTCTTCATTTACATCAACAAGTCTTAGCCACCCAACGTCCTGTCCGTGGATGTTGGCGTGTTCCCCCTCCTCGGACCACTCTCCGCAGGTACTCACCATGGCGGGTCTTTAACCCGTTCCATTAATTCCATATACAACAGGTCAACTACAAGTACCGAATGTTAGATTACCGTCAAATATATCCCAGAGCCTGTTATGTGCCGTTTTTACAAGCTATTTGACGTTACATGCGTCACACAGGAAAGGTCACAATGTTTTGGCTCATCGGTGAATATCTCAGTTTATATTAACAGGGTCACAGATCACAAGCATATTATGATACTAGAGAATATAGCTTACAGTCCAGTCAGTAGTGAGAAAATCTGCATCAGACAAATACTCGCTGGCCCGAGCCACGTCCTCCATATCGGCAAAGAAGTCGACATAGTTCTGATGCAGGTAGAGGTTGAAGAGCTCAGCTGACATATGGGACTTTTCCACTACCAGCTGACGAGAAGAGAGACAAGCATGTATTTCAAACTCTCACGACTCTCTTCACACAAGCATGGTGCCGTGATCCCACGTACTACCTCAGGATCCACCAGCAGTCTGTCTCTTCGGTGCTCTGACAGATGGGCAGGCAGCTTGGGCAGCTCTGGCTCACTGCAGCTCTCTCCTGAGGACCATTAACACGTCACATCGCAGTGGAACACAAGGTAGTCTTCTACCATCAGAAAAACAGAAATCAAAGAAGAGAGAGACACACACTGCCAACATGTTCCAACTCACTTTTGCAGTACAGTATCTTCCCCAGGGCTCTAAACAGAAAGAGAGACGCGTCTTTGCCCCCAATGGCCTGAGACTGAGCATCCTGCTTGTCAGAGCTCTTTGTGGATTTACTCCTGCTTCTTCCTTTGGAGACACTTCGACTGGATGACGCAGACACTGGCTTGTTCTTCAGTGGTGCCCAAAAACTGCTTTGTACTGAGCAGTCTGAGGAAAACAGAAGCCCAAACTTGCACGTATCCCTTTGCCAAAAAGGAAAGACCAGCAACCAGAAGAGGAATGGGTGTGAACTGGATCTTAAGTTAAAGGTATACCGGCATCAGGTCGAAATGTCAAATATCTGGATATCAGTCTGACCTTAACTATGACACAATAAATGCTGATTCTTACATTTGCATTTCTATCTGCACAGGCAGGAAGAGTGTAATAATACATTTTGGCAAGTTATTACACAATGCAACATATTTACATTAGATAAATGTAGGTACATTTTCAGGGATGCGTTTCCCGAAAGCTTTGTGACACTAAGTAGTTTGTCATCTCGTACTTAAGATTATTTGTTGATTAAATGAGCGTTTCTCGAAACCCTCTGTAAATAGTTCATAACTTCATTCATGAATAAAACGAGAGGTCTGACTCACTCGTTGTTTTCCAAGTCGTTCTTTATTTGAATGCTTGCCTGCTCTATCACAGACCCAAAAACACACTCATGCTGTTTTTTGGACAATGTAATAATGATAATTTAATGTTGCAATATAAAAATTATAATATAGGCTAGAAATTTGTTACATTTTGTCAGTTATTACAGAATGCAGTGTTACAATGTGTGTAACAATGCATTATGTAGTAATGCCGCATTATGTGATGAAAAATTGTTAGATGTTGTCGAGTCATTATATAATGCACTGTTACATAGAGGATTACCAGCGTAATATGAAAAGCCACAATAGTCTTAAATACACTTCCGAAGACTGATGGAATTACACATTGTACTAAAACACAGCACATAAGATTTGTTTTATACTGCTACTTAACAACAGCCAGCACGTTTTGATAGATATACAGGTTCTGGTAAGTAAAAGACTGTTTCTCCCACTACAAAATCCGAGCGCACGTGATGAATATGACCATGACTGTGCAGAGAGCCCTCACCTGTCAGGGAGAGGAACTGCAGGTTGTTGATGGCTCCCCGTATGTCCCCTGAGCTTCCAGTGCACAGCAGCTCCAGAGTCTCTTTGTCAGGAACCATGATCCTGCCTCCACTCTAAGACAGAATAAAGGAAAATCAAACACAAGCATATACACAAGGGACTGTCATGCAGATCCCATCAACTTGTCTCTGCATCAAGACATGATGCAACAACAGATATGCTTAAGAGTAACTAAGCAGTCAAATGTCCAAATACTTTTTTTTTTTAATTATTATTATTTTTTTGGGGGGGGGGGGGGGGGGGTTTGTATACAAATATAATTCACTCAGTACAGCTGGTCTTACATTAAGGCTGAGAGTCTTAACTTTAAACACATGGTTTCATTTCAAATCCATTGTGGTGTCCAAAGCCAAACTAAACGTGTCACAGTCCAAATACTTATTGACTGTACAACATTCCACCTGAATAATTTCTCTTGACAAACTAATTCATATACATTCAAAACACCGTGCACAAAACAAATTCCATTTATAGTTTGAACATATCCTTCCACAGAGATGATGCCTGTTTGACACATTTTGGAAACAAGAAATCGCTAAATTGAAATAAAAGGCCTTGAGCGCAGAATAAAAAGCATTTCCATCCGCAGCACGTCTCTCCAGCCGACAAGAGCAGCCATCTTACCCCGCTTGCTTCCTGGGTCACAATCCGATTCAGCACTTTCATGATGTTGGTGGGTGCCACGGGATTGAAGCTTTAAAAGCAGCAGAGCAAAGAAAAATATTCAAACAATATCAAAATAATAATTTATACAGTGATTGGGCAGTGTCAAGAACGGAGCCAAATTTCTATCTCTTTGTACATATATGTATCCAAAGTCAATCTGTATGATGGATTTACTGAATGGAATAACGCTTCCGAAAATTAATGCAAACCATTTTATTTACAGGTACATTTCCACTTTGTGCAACTGCAAAAATTTGTGGCACATACCATATATTATACTGTCATATAAAAATAATTTAAATGTATTAGATGACATTTATATATATAAAAAACAGTCACACACTTTAATATTTTGTAGGATTGCCTTTGGCTTTGATTATGGTGCACATTCATCAATAAATTGTTTCCACATGCTTATTCAACATCTCAACATTTTTTTCATTCAGATTTGCATTCATTTCTTGTTGAGATCTTGTATTGATGATAGGTGAGTTGACCCATTCCATAATGTCTTCTTCAGCACATCTCAAAGACTTTCAGTGGGGTTAAGGTCAAGCCTCTGTGCTGCCAAATTCACGTGTGAAAATGATTCCTCATGCTCCCTGAAGCACTCTTTGACAGTTCAAGCCCCATAAATCTTGGCATTATCATCCCGGAATATGCCCGTGCCTTTAGGTAACAAAAAATCCATTGATGGGATAACCTGGCCATTCAGGTTCTCAACTGACGCCACATTATTGCTGCATAAAGTTGCTGAGCTATAATAATGATCCAATAACTGGCTCTTAGCTACTTGTTGATCTAAATTCAAATGGTGACTTTTTGGGCCAGTCAGTGTACTTACCTTATATGGCAGATTCCAAGCTCCTCCTGATGCTCCTTAGGGAAAAGCTGCCGGGAACCACCATCTCCGCTGAGGCTGTCTGACACTATCAGCAGCAGAGGACACTTGCCAGTCTTGACAAAACTTCTGGGTGAGCAAAGACAGAGAAACCACCTTTTGGCTGGGCTCCATTCATTTAGAGTTCAGAAACTACCACTGATATTTACATCATTTCTAATGTTTAAAAAAATACTACGACACTTATTATACTGAGAATTCTTTTTTTAATCTTACCTCAAAATACCATGAAGGCATTCTGGCTGTCTATAAAACTGATTAGGGAAATCCTGTCAATCAGAGAAGTTCACACATATTACTAATAATTCATTCAAATTGTTAAATCCTTAAACTAAACCCAAGGCCTGGGCTATATATTACTTTGAATATTTTTTCCCATTTTAATTAAGCAATATGTTAAAAACACATACGTGTTCAGTATCCAACAGTAAAGTGGGCTTACCTCAATGAGGATGAGCTTCTTGTTGCCTGTCTGGCAACCCCCCAGCATCTGCAGAGGGCTGTACTTATTTGCCCTGAGTAAAAACTCCTGGAACAGCACTGTCTGAGACCCACCAGAGAAGCTATTGAACCTTGACTCTGTCAAAGAAAAGCAAGCTGATACTTATGACTGCCCAGCTCGCCAGACAAAACAAAGTCGCTTAAAACCAAAGAAACATTTGACAATTTTTGCAAGACTGATTCTGCAGTTAACAACAATTGAGCAAAGGGAAGTTCCCAACTCATTAACATGTTGTATACAGTGCACAAAACCTGGGGTGCAAGCTTCATTGACAAGTCACCAAGTCACATGCCATTCACATATACCAGAGAACCCCACCCATTAAGTTTCGTGTTGCACCTCACACCCAGGTAAACAGAGTGTCTTTAGTTATTGCGCCTACAATACAGCATAACTCATCAAATTACACTGATACAAGTGACAGTAGTGGCTCACCAGGGTCAAACGACTGTCTAAAAGACTCCTCTGTCTTGAACTCAGAGAAAGTGGAGGGGTTGGACCACTCCTGAATCAGGCAGTCTAGCTCTCTGGCTAAAACCCGAATGGTGGCAGTCTTCCCACATCCAGAAGGCCCAGTCAGCAAAAGAATCGCACCACCCTAGGGAGAAATAAATACGACATCACGCATTTTTGGGACTATGTGTACAGTGTGATAATATTTCATACATTTACCTTTATTTACTTAGCATATGCCTTTATCCAAAGAGACATAACGTTAAAAAGCAGAGTCAGGCAGTCCCTGGAGTAATTAGGGTGAAGGCTGAGGGGGGTGGGGCTGGGTGCACCTCAGGTCGCCCCACTGGAATCGTGAGGTCGGGGGAGGAGGGCAATTATCAAATAGTGAGCCTCTAACTTTGCACAGTACTAATGCAATTAGTAACACTAATGCAATTATTAACGCTGTGAAATGCTACTAAATAAATCGCAATTCATTCATAATACAGGGAATATGTAGTTTCGCAGACATGGCTGCATTTTTTTTCTGGTTTGTGCAAAATCATGAAGAATAATATACAGTCAGTTTGCACACCACCAAGGTGACTCTTGATTGACCCTGTGGGGTGGTGGGTAATGTTTTGATGCTCAAGTGCCAAATAAACACAAATGGATGAGTAAATGTATAAGCTATCAGGTGTCCAATTTAGAAAAAAAGAATAAAAGGAGAAACAGACAAAAGATAAATGTATGCAGCTATTTAATCTCTTTATGAGTGTAATATTATGCATCTAATGAAATAGACTAGTACAACAGTAATGTTCATTAGTCAATAATAATTCAATTCACATTTGTATATACTAGTTTGTTTTTTTTATGTCGAATATATTTTTATATTCATCTGGTTATAAATTTTATCATTATTTGTATCGTTCCAAATGTCTTAAAAGTATTAGAGCATCAGTTAGTGGGAGAAGTTTGTTGTTGTTGTTGTTGTTGTTGTTGTTGGGGGGGGGGGGGGGGGGGGGGGGCTTGGGGGTTGGTGGCAGGGGGGGGGAGTGAAGGGGGAGTTCGCACAGGGCACCTCACAAACTAGAACTGCCACTGTTCCGATCACAGGCTCAGACTCCTAACACTCAGATGCACACATCACCCCACTCCATCAAGACACGTACTGTGTTTTGGACACTGCTGTCGATGTGCGATTTCAGCCAGCTCTCAACCTCCTTCATCTTCTTCGGATGAACTGCAAGGTCAGCCTTCATGGCAATGACATTATATTCAAAATACAATTATAAATATGGGTGGTGAGATATATATATATATATATATATATATATATGTTCAGAATGTAAAAAATTACAGCAACTGATAAAGCAAAATATACTGCCTTTAACCACAGATAAACTGGAAAGGGGGTATACATAAGATTTCTACATATAAGGACACAGCACCTGTGTGTGGGGGCAGTATTTGTCCACCCAAGGTTCATCCTGGCATTGCTGGTCTTTCCTAAGAGCATTCTCAGATTCTCGTGATTGCGAAGTCCCTTTTCTTTTTAAAGGTTGTTTGCTGGATGACGTAGGTCTTTTTCTGCACTCTCTGGCGTTTGTTGTCTTTCTCGTAGAGAGCAGGTTCCGTTCAGAGCCGCCGAACAAATCGCCAAAAGCAGGCTCCACCCAACTGTTCCCCTAGGATACACAACGCAACACCTTGAGGTGGTGACTTAAGCGAATGGACATGCCGGGAACCTGTTAGAATCCCACACTCTGAAGGAATGTTAAAACGAGAGCACTAGCTAAAAGTACGAGCCTAAAAGGAACATCATGAGATTAAACGTTTCGCCAAGAAACTGCAAATAAGACGCTCTGCAGAGTTGAAACAAACAGAGGGTATAAAAAGTTATAAAGATCGTCGCTTACCTTACTTGATGACGGCTTTCTTTCGATAGAAAGTTTTGACATTATCGGTTGTGGCGTATTAATGGTGGCATTCACTTAATTGGTGAAGCAACAGGCAGCTAAAATAAACAACAAAAACTTGAGTCTATTCGTATAAGGCAAATGAATTTCAGACGAAAAGTAACATTTGATACGAATTTGATGGTGTAGAAGTAAATGTACAAAATACGTTTCAGCCATTAAGTTATTTAATCCGTTGTTAATATTTTGAAATGTCAACAGCTAGTAAATGAAAAAAGTTGTTTTGTTGTGGCTAGATTACAAACGTTTTAGTGCAACTGGATGTTCACAGTCTTACAGTTGACAAAATAGTTTCTAAATGAACTAAGTAGCCGTTTCTCCGTCACAAAGTTTTATTAAACAATCAACTTGCCTCAGTGACACCCAAAACTACTTCTGCCATATTACGCAATTTTAATTATTAATTGTCGGTTACTTTTTATTCTACATAGAAGTATAAACACTTTAAACGGTCGATATATCCCTTTAAATATACGGCCTTCGTGAAATGTGGCGCATGTTGATGACGTATATGGAAGGGCTATACCAACCATATTCGTCGTTTGTGCTCATGTGGTGCAAGGCTTTGGCGCATGCGTATACTGTTTGACATTAGACGGCGCCCCAAACGCATGCGTGCAAACAACAAGTCTCTGACCTTGTACTGTATGAGAAAACATTCTTCTGCTCGTGGAGTATGCAGTGTGTCTGTCGTTGGTTTTAAAAAAGCTGCTCTTCTAGAAGAAGCATGGCATGTCGGTTAATTTCCTCTCAATCTCATATCACAAATTTGTTTGACCTGAACACACTCCACTTTTCAATTCTATCGGCAGTCCTGAGATTTATTTCGGAGTACGACAGTACGGACACACATACTGTATGATGTGTAAAACGTACACACTGGCTTCTCTGTCGTTTTGTCATAACCATCACATATGTAACAATTATTACTGCCGGTTGCCGTGATGATAAGTCGATGACAAGCTGTTTTGGGTTTGCACTAACATAACGCATGCCATCTGACATACGTGTTTTGAAATTCTGTTTTGGTATACATCTTCTTGTACTCTTGCAGGATTACTCACTGTTGTATGGACTTTTTTTGTCGCCGTATATTTATATGTACTGTCTGATCATGTCGATACAGTAACAAATAAAACTTTTGTTTAGTGCATTTTTTACTTTTACATATGTATTACACCTACATATGACTTTTAGTCATTCCTGAATTCCTCATTTGGACAGGCAGCTTTACTTGGTGGTATATCCCATGTGAGACCGCATGGAAGCTTCAACGTCCCCCGATCGTGAAGTGAAATTGGTGTGACCCCTCAGAAGATGGCGCCCTAGGGCGGTCTAATGGGTTGACTAGTTCTTGGTATTTATTTATGACAGGGCTACAGAAATGTTCCGAAGATAAGAAGGATAAGGACATTAATCTTATTGATACCCCTTGATGAATTATGCTGTGTAACTGTAGAAGAAAACTTGAAGAGATCCCCAAAGAACCTGTGAGATCTTGGATACATAATTCAGTAGAAAAGACAGAACTGCAATCATTACAAGCTAATGTGAAAAACAAAACATTCAGTTCTTATTTTTAATTTATATTTCAAGCTACGTTTCCCCTGTGACTGTTGCCAGGATAAGTGATGGAGGAAAGTTTAATTTCCTAGATGTACATCATTTTTAAATGGTAGAATTCCAGCATCTTCACAGGTTTGCTGTGGCCTACGAAGAACAATTTTCTGAATTTATAGATAAGCTGCAGAAGATTTTCTAAATACATGTGTACACAGTATATGTATCATATATAATACTTTATAGATTAAAATGTGTTTGATTAGTATCATATAGTTACATTATTTTCAGGCATTTCTCATTACCACAGTCTACTGTGATGTTGGTACAGTACAGACGTGAGAAAAAAGTACATGGACAACAAACTGAATGATGGATAAAAGCCTCCTCGCCTGGATAAAATTAAGAATCACTTTGGTTGCACGTTAAATATGAATAAACAGTATACTACAACATAATAAAAATGATTGAAACACATTTTGTATTATAGCCACAGGATAATACTGTTATGTGGATGACTGAGATGTTGAAAGAATGCTTGCTGTTGCTACATTAAGAAGGCGGTGTATAGCTCAGTAGGTTAGGACTGTGAAGGTCACTGGTTCAAATTCTGTGGCCCGCAGACTAATGCTGCCATTAAACCCTTGAGCAAGGACCTTAACTTTCTATTATACACTTTAAAGAGACACGCACGTAAGAATCAAAGACTCACAACATCCTTGTTTTGCCCTGCATAGGAGCACACGTCGATACTTTTTAGTCACGATACGTTTCAGTCCCGTGTACGTCACTACCGCCACCTGTACCCGCCCCACTTCACTGCACTGGTGATGGCGATGAAATTTCCCAGGTGAGCTCGTATCGGTGCGCGATGACGTAACGCCGCCGGGATGGGCCGGTCACGTGGTTTTGTTCTCTCGCAGCCGCTGAACCAGCGCTTGGCTGGGAGACGCGCATGGAAATTCCTGGAGAAGTTCCTTTTCCAGATTAAGGTAAGAAAGCTCTTTCGGAAGGATAGTGTAGCTGTCACTAAAGACGCTATAGGAACGGCAAGTATGAAAAGTAGTACGACTTTGTAAATGTTCTGAACCAGGTATTGTAAATGTTCTCAATTGTCCTGGGAAAAAAAAAAGTGAGAGGAAGTTTCTTATTCGTTTCGGTACAACGCCACAGAACAAACCGACTTTGCCTTAAAATAACCATTCGCAAAATTCTCATAACTGGTGTAACATACAGTATAAAACACACTTAATGTATAGCTAACTCGAATGCCCAGTATTGGGGTATTTAACTTAAAAGCAGTGGAAGGCGGAAATGTGCGATTGTAAAGAATCCAAAGTACGCTGGTAAAACCTTTTTCTCTTATTAAAACACATCTCACTTAATGCTAGGTATATCCATCCATTTGTCGCCAAAATGCTTATCCTGGACGTGGTCGTGGTACTAGTTTCAATAATATATTGGGATTATAAAAACTGGAAAAAAGTTATTTTAATATAACATTGCGTTACTGTACTTCGGATGCTTAATCATTATACAATTATTGCTGTTGTAATTATATACTTACAACATTAATTGTATATACATTTCAGAGGTCAGTAGTTTTTTTTTAAATTTCCCTTCTAGATATAATACATTTTTTTAACCTCAGGTAGCAGCAATAGTCATTCTGTATTTTTTGTTCTTTTTTTATGGTGTGTGTAGTTTTAGTGATTCGTAATTTAAGAGCCTTGTAACTCCTACATCCGTTTAATTAACAATGTTTTCTTACTTCTTTTGAAAGCAGGTAAAGGTGACTTACTACCTAATTAACAAATTGACTGAAAAAATTCGCCCTTCCCCCCCACATGCCTTTTTTAGGTGTAGAACAGTATTAAAAATAAACACTTTTTGGGGGGTGCTGAGCTTATGAAGGGAAACAAGTAGCATCTCAATGTTTTATATACCATAATACACATTCAATTGTATTTCATTATTAAAAAAAATAACTTGTTACTCCAAGCCCTTTACTGCTTTTTTTCATAACCAAAATCAATATAAAAATGCATGAATTTGACCTTGAAAAAAGTTAGACGTGCAAAAGTTGATTGAAAGTTTTTTTTTTTGTACTCCCCAAAAAGCTATAACTGGCCTATGTAGCTGTAGGCCTAATAATAATAATAATAATAATAATAATAATAATAAAAGTTACAGCTCATAAGAAATTGAATTATGTGTTTTGCTACCAGTAAAATGTGTGTGTTTTAAATGCTTATGAGCTCTGAGTGGTCTAATTCACATGATAGACTTCCTCAAAATCAAAAATGATGGAAAAAATCTTCTTTTCAGAATTTGTTGGATTAAAACTGAGTGACCTTACTGTTTCCATGACAGACCTTGAGCTGCATGTACGGTACTAACGTTAGGTGAGGTTTATGTAGCCCGACTGCAAGAGAATGCCGGCCTTGGTGAGCTGCTACATGTGAAGGAGGTATGTAGTCGGACACGTTCATTTTTCTGTGATTAACATACTCTGAAGCCCGAAATGCATGTGTGTCGGTCCTGTTCACCTCATTAACTTCGGCCATTTTCTTCAGACCTCTCTCAGTAGGTAATTTTCACTGTTTTTTTTTTTTTTTGTTATTTTTCTTTCACAAATCTTGGTAAATTAGGCACTGTACTGCGTGAGAGCAGTGTTGCTGTTTCTGTGGTGATGGACCCCCCCCCCCATTGCTGCTTCACTTGTTGACCTTGTTTATTTGTTGCCATTGTGAGTGTGAATATTATGGAAGCACATTTTCCAGTGTGATGGGGAAAAAATTCTGTAACTCATTTTAATGAGAAGCTTTTTTTGAAATAGTCACTTAATATCTTAATAATGACTTGGTTGCTCATTGTTACTTTTTGTGCTATAAGACTTAACCGTATTATAAGACTGTTTTGGTAACTATTTTTGGGAAAAAAGAATTTAGAAAACCAAATCTTGTGTTTATAATGAAAAATAATTTTACTCAACAAGAACATATAAGAAGTTAAACATAACAATTAAAGCAACCAGGCAATCACATTACAATAGGTGTATTAAACAGGAAACATTCCAATAGACAAATCTATTATTGGGGGGTGAGGGGTAGATAAGCAATATTACAAGCTCCAGAATATTTTTGATACAACAGACCTGCATAAAGACGGCAAATAAATGTATTATGGCGAGTAGTTGACTCATTTTAATAAGGAAGATGAAGGATCTTTTTAAATTACTCTAACAGCCAATATCTGTTTAATACTAGCAGCAGCACAGACAGGGAAGCTAACAATTAATGCAACATTCACAGCTACACCCTGATGAAACACATGCACTCCATGGCAAATACAGTTACGACACAAATTAACACAAATGCACAATAATGTCACTTTTTAAAGATGCATGTGGTGCAGTGCAAAGAATGCCGGTAACTGCATAATGATTCCCACTGACCAACCCCACAAAGTTATATAATATATCAGCCAGTCATGGACAGTGGGTGGGATCACGCTTATACGATGATGTATTGCTAAGATGTCTGTTACGTTGATTACATTTACTCCACCTTTAAGCAGGAGCCAGAAAATGTATGCATTCTAGTGTTGTATGTCTATAATGACATATAAATTATAATTCTTTAATATAAGATGACCACAGGTTTTTAGATGTTATTTTTTTGGGGGAAAAAACTGCCATCTTATTTTTGAGCCAAATCAAATATGAGAACCTTTTTCAAAATAGTGATTTAATATTTTGAGATGCGTATTGTTTTGAGAGTCATCATTTCATGAAAGTTTCTCATTGTCTCGTCAAACTAGAGTCACTGTTTTTAGAAACTTTCTCACTATAATAACTTACAGGGTCTTAATTTTTCCCATCACATTTGTGGAAATGGGCGTCCATAGAATACAGTTTTAAAAGTGCTGTACAGTTGTGGGGGTGGTTGGATAATTTCGGTCCATTAATGCACTGATAGGAGCTTTATCTTCTGTCCTGTCCATCTTTAGAGCTTTCTTCCTTTGTGTGCTTCTAGGGCTCGACACGCTCCATGTCTTCCGAAGAAGGGTTGTCTGGTCACTTTAACCGGGGTAGGGCCGCTCCCCACTATGACCAGGTTCCCATAGGCTCCCTGCGGAGAGATGACCCTCCCCCCCTCCAGCATCAGTTTGCTGCCAGCCTGGCCATGAGCTCTGAGCCCCTGCCCCCTCCTCCCCTCCCGGAGGATCCCCCTGTGGGGCCCGAGTTTGACCCCAGTGACACTGAACCAGAATTGGATGGCATTAACATCAAACCCGTTCATCGCTTCATCCCCGATTCCTGGAAGAACTTCTTCCGGGGCAGTGGGCGCAGCAGCGGCAGCAGCAAGCCGCAGTCCGCTCCCGACGACCAGCCCAACGGTAGCAGCAGCAGCAAGGGCGTCCGCTGCTCCCCCCCACACACCTCCTCGGCCCCCAACTCCTTCCTGGACCCATACGGAGGATCGGGAGGCAGCTACAACACTCACAAGGAGCAGCTGGCACTCCTGCACGATGGCCTGCCTGAGTCCTGGGACGGACGGACTCAGCAGACGGCGCTGACCTACAGCGAGCGAGTGGAGGAGTACAACATGCGCTACGCCTATATGAAATCCTGGCCGGGTCTGCTGCGCATCCTGGGCTGCGTGGAGCTGCTGCTGGGGGCGGCGGTCTTCGCCTGCGTCTGCGCGTACGTCCACAAGGACAACGAGTGGTTCAACATGTTCGGCTACTCGCAGCCGCAGATGTTCAGCATGTACGGCGGTAGCAGTGGATCCTACTACAACGGGCCCCAGACGCCCTTCGTCCTGGTGGTGGCCGGTCTGGCTTGGGTCGTCACGGTGATCCTGCTGGTACTCGGCATGAGCATGTATTACCGCACAATCCTGCTGGACTCCAACTGGTGGCCACTTACAGAATTCGTCATCAATTTGGTGCTGGCCACCCTGTATATGGCAGCCGGGATCGTGTATGTGAGGGACACCATCCGCGGCGGCCTGTGTTACTATCCCATCTTCAACAATGGGATCAACGGGGCCTTTTGCCGCACCGAAGCCGGACAGACCGCCGCCATCATCTTCCTCTTCGTCGCCATGCTGGTGTACTTGATCGGTGCCATCGTTTGCCTCAAGCTGTGGCGCCATGAAGCTGCCCGCAGGCTTCGCGAGAGCCTAGGCCTTGAGGTGAGAGAGAGTTCCCATCTGTAATACTTTCAGTTCTCAAAGGAAGAGTCATTTACTGCGAAATAGAGGTTGCCATAGGTAGTCTGCTTAGTATAGTTAGTTGCTTAGCGACCGAAGGATGAGCTCAGTCTCTTCTGCGGCAGTTGTGAATAAAATCACCTTTGCAGATAATTTCAGTTGCACTGCATTATTTTGGAGTGACTGTCCATATCCTGAGATGCATTGAACTGGTTTGCCAATGATGTAGTAATTGTTTTATTATGTCTACCATGAAACATCAGTAAATCAATTTCACCTCTTTTTTTTTTTTTGTTTTGTTTGAAGACGACCCACTCTGCTTCAAGATCCTTGGTAAACATTTAATGTTTCTCTCGAGTAATTGTTGCATTTTGTACAACAAATACCTCTATGAGTCACATGACAATGAATGATTTATAATGAAAATATATGTAGTCTTTCAGCATACCTTGTTGTAAATATAGATAAGCTTTAGTTTCTGTTGATAACTGGAAATCTATGTACAGCCGATCCTTCTGCATTGTCAGGGTAAGGGGCACAGCCCCCCTGTGTTCTGGAAAGCCTTTTTGGTCCCTTTAGTGAGCGAAGCGAAAAGATACCAGAAATGCCTGATACAAAGATCGCAGAGAGATAACATGCAAGAGGCTAACATGCTCAGCATCCACCAAACCCGCACTGGACATACAGCCGCGGATGAAATTAAGAGACCACAGCACAATTTTTTGTTTCACTCATTTCTGAATTTAAGGTTGTGCGTCTGTGAATGTTGTTTTTTTTTTTGCAAACTGCACTCTGGTTCTTCCCTGTTTCTCATTAATGAAGGGCTTCTTCCCTGTTTCTCATTAATGAAGGGCTTCTCCCCTGCTTTATGGGACTTCAGTTCTGCTTCTGTCCTAGCAGTGCACTTCACACCTACAGTTAATGTTTCCCATTCCTTTTGAAGGTCACTTGATGTTATCCTCCGATTCATGAGAAATTCTAAGTTAACGGTCATCTCTGCCATTAGAAAGTTGCTTCCGCCCTTTACCTGACTGGTTTCTAGTCACTCCCAGTGTCTCCTGCTTCACCTTATTCTTGCGTCCTGCTGGCTTAGAAATTGTGAGCCCGGAAGCAACCTGCTGCTCAGTGTAGCCGCCTGCCAGCAGAATCACGATTAAACCAGGATTTTAACATGCAGATTTGTTTAAAAATGTAGAATGGTCTCTTAAGTTTTTCCGTGGCTGTATATTTTACACATTTATGAGATACTAAATATTTAAGGTGTCGTATGCTGGCTGTGTTGTCTGTGGCTTTCGCAAAACTCCCAAATGACTTATGCTGACCCCACGATGTATCGAATCACCGATGGGGAAAGCCTCTGCAGAAGGGTCAACTGTATATGTCAGGGTTATTCAAATCACGGCCCTCGAGGTCCAAGCACTGCTGGTTTTCCAGCCTTCCTTTACCTGTCAGTCAGGTGAGAAGCCTCTGACCAATCAGAATCAGTAATTATTAAAATAACTACCTGGGAGAACTGAAAACAAGGCCTGGATTTGGATTCAAGGTCCAGATTTTAAGAACCCTGGTATATGTCATATCTACACACCCGCAAGTTCATTTATTACTTTGCCTAATGTAGCTGTAGTCCCCACAGTTCAGTTATTTATACTCGCATTCTGCTGAAATCATGCCTAAGGCTACTGCCCTTATGTAGTCTCTCACCTTTTTTTGTGCCCCATGCTATTGCCATGTAGATTGTCCCAGGTTCCAGAGCCCCTGAGTCTAGGCACAATTATCCTAGTACCGTGGAGATGGAACCAGTTGCTGTGGAAACGCAGCCAGAAATCCTAAGAGGACACATTCCTTCTGGACACATTCCAAAACCAGTAGTCATGCCAGACTACATTCAGTAAGTGTTTGCTTCAGCAAAATGCTTGTCTTCGTGGTGGTTTTTAATGGTCTGGGCTAGCAGACGGCACTGAAAGCCAGGTCGCATCTCTTTATTCCTCTTGTGAAAAATGCAAATCATTATGCAAAACCTTCTTTGTTTGGTACATGAGTCTACTTATTTTGTCCAGTATCCCCAACTAGGATCCCCTTGGATTTAAATGTTTTTTTTTGGTGTCTGTACTTCTGTTTAACTTGCTGGCAAGTGTCTAACCGGAACAAAATGTGCCTAAGACTGTTTCTTAGCCATTATCTCAGTCCTTAGCCTTATTTCCCTGTCTGATTATCGTACACGTCCTTCCCATTGCAGGAAGTACCCCAGCATTCGGACAGATGAGGAGCGAGACCAGTACAAGGCGGTGTTCAATGACCAGTATGCAGAGTACAAAGAGCTGCACGCGGAGGTGAATGCCACCCTTAAGAAGTTCGATGATCTGGATGGGATGATGCGTAACCTGCCCCAGAACGCTATCGATCAGACGGTAGTGCCTCTTCATCCCCCTTCTGCTTTTGTGTGAACAGGAGCACAGAGTAACAGCTATTGAATCCAAAACACACATGCTGTGGCAGTTTTTTAGAAATACTTTCGCTGCCTAATAAACTGAACGCTTTTCCCTCAATTGCTTGATGTAGAAGAGCCTCTTTGGTATTTGGTATAATGATTCTGTTTTTGGTCATGAAATAAGTAGCTTGCTAGATGGTTTTGTTGCAGACTTGGAGGTGGGCGATAAATCGATTTTATTGACTAATTCGAATTTACAGTTCAGGACTATGTGTTTTTATGAAAATTGATTTTATTACTTATTTTACACGCGAGCACCAAAAGTGGAACTAATGCGACGCACCGTTCTTCACGGGTAAATTAGCGCGCCGCACCCAAACACTGTAGCGGATTCACAAACAACATGGCAATGGTTTGGTTTTGCGCCGTCGGACACAGACCAAACAAGTCCTCGTCGCAAAGTCTGTTTAAAAACTGTTGCAACCAAAGGAAGCAGCACGACAAATTTATTCCAGCACCTAAAGCAGAGGCACACAGCGGAGTGGGAGAAGTGCAGCTCCCAGTGAAATGAAAATACCTGCAGCACCAGCACAACATCCAAAATTAAGCAAGAAACCGTCCCAGACACGTTTTCGAACTGTGTGCCATATGATAAGAATGGGGCACGATGGAAGGCGATAACAAACGCTGTCGCGATGTATATTACAAAAGACATGGTGCCCATACATACTGTGGAACAGCCGGGATTCATTAACATGCTAAAAGTTTATAAGTGTTTACAATGGCGTGGTCTGCCATCTCACTTACAAGCATCTTTTTTGGCTTGTCAGATTGCACTTTATGTTGTTTTTTTTTTGTTTTTTTTTTACTTTAGAGTTAAAACTTGTTTTGAACCATTTATTTGTCATCTGTAGTTTGATTTTGAGTAGGGGAGGGGAAAATCGATTAAAATCGAAAATCGAATTTATTGGCCATATCGCCCAGCTCCATGCAGACTCTGACAAAATATGCCTCCTTCCTTTCAGGAACGGGATCGTGTTCACAGAATCCTTCAGGAGTATCAGAAGAAGAAAAATGTAAGTGTTGAAATGTAGCCATCTGCCCATTCACCCCCCCTGATTGCTCTCCCTGCACTGATGTGTTGAAATGTAAATGCCCCCCCCCCCCACCCAGCCCAGTTTCTGTAACACCCAGTTGGAGCAGAACCTAAAGAATTTGTGTCCTGAAGACTCTACATAAATCTTGGTTGTTATGTGCAGCATCACAGATGTAGTGCTTTCTGTGTTGGAGGACAATAGGGTAGAGCCAGACTGGATGGGTGAGGGAGGGTCTCTCAATAGGTTCTCACAGTAATCATGGTTTTGTTCCTGACGGACCCTGGCCATTTATGGCCTCTGAGGCTCTTGCTCTCAGTTCCTGGTTGTTGAAACTTGAAACTCCAGGAGGAAATAGGAGGGAAGGTAGTGCATTCCTCTCTAAGCCGACACGGAGCTGAAATGAACCTGAACTGTTACTGAATTCTGGCTGTGTACCTTTGAGAGGCATATTGACATTTGTCACAACTCGATTTTTTTTAAAGGGAAATTTGATTTAGCTTGCAGTTCTTATGTAGATATAAAATCAGACATGTATTGTTAGATTGTAATTTTTTCCCCTCATGCTTCAGGTCTACAACTGAAATGGAGTTTATTCTGTTTTAGTTTTATGCAGCTGTTTGACAGAAATCTGTGTAATATTCCTGGCATCCCTCCATAATTGATTCTTCTCTGGAAAATGCATGTACATTTTTAGTATATATCAGATCCCAGGAAGAAGCAGTGTGGAGTAAATGTCCCATGGTCTGGCTTTATAACCAGAACTGATTTGTATTGTCCATTGTGACATTGAGCTGCTTCCTATAATCTGAACAAATGATGTAATGGACATAGCTGATTGACTCGACTGATGTTTGTGTTGCTTTTTGATAGGATCCTACATTCCTGGAGAAGAAAGAGCGATGTGAATACCTGAAAAATAAACTCTCTCACATTAAACAGAAGATTCAGGAATATAACAAAGTAATGGAATGGAATGACGGCTTCAGTTAAGCCAATAAGGAAACCTACCTGTGAGCAGCGTTTTCATGAATTCATTTTATCCATCCATCCATTTTCCAGCTTTAAGGAACTTTAAGCACATGAACAGGTGCTTTTGCTTGAGCATACTTAGAGTACCTTTCTTGGGGTCATTCTGTCCGTGGGTTGATCTCACACCAACAGTTTTTATTTTATTTATTTGTTATTTTTTGAAAAGTCGCCAAAGTGCCTTTTGGTTAGTGACTTGCCAGTGTAAGTTAATGACTGTTTATTTTGAGATTAGTACTGATAGATATCCATTGTGACTTTACACTGCTCTTTCTTCATTTGCCTTCAAAAGTGGAGTTTCATTAAGGCAATGCACACACTCACGCGGCAGGCTGAATGACGCGATTGTTTATATCACAGTTGGTAATTTCTCTGCATTTTGTATTCATTTTTTAAAAATGCTTTTAATAAGTATGCTCCAAAGGCATCACTTTTGCATAACATTCCAATGTTTCTCTTGCCTTGCAGTAGCCATTTTATATATTTTTTTTCCCCCACATTTGTGATATGTTGCTTATCATGTGGATATATAGTTGTAGTATATAATTTTCGATGAATAATATCCACAAATTGTAAACATTGTATAAATATTTGTGAAATAGTCGCAGTACACTTTCTTGAAAGCAGTCTTCAAGTTAAAATGGAGAAATGATTCTTTTAACTCATTTCAGATATTGGTCCTTCTGCTGTTACAGAATATTTTTTACTGTGAAATGCAAAGTCATGTAATTTCTTTGGAAATTTTTAAATGATATTCCTAATGACAAATCTAAAAAGTCACAAAGATTATAAATATTACAGCCATTGTATATTGTAATCAGATTCAGCCTTACCAAAGTTTTCTGTGTTGTACAAACTGTCTGATAAATAAAGGACCCTATCAGATTGCTGTGAATAAAGTGTATACCTGCATAGGTGTAACACTCCACTAACCATTGATGGCAAAAACAGTCGCATCAAACATTCATGTGGTTTATGAAACATGACTCAGCATTTGTCATTCCATTGATGGACTTCTTGACAATTTCAGTTACTATGCAGATGTGCCTGTGGCACTGTTTCTGTCAGCCTGCCTTTCTCACTAGCTATCCTCTCACATGACAATTTCAGTTACTATGCAGATGTGCCTGTGGCACTGTTTCTGTCAGCCTGCCTTTCTCACTAGCTATCCTCTCACATGCCCCCCCCCCCAGCATTTATCTGAAAACCACTGACTGCATGCAGAACACTCAATTTATGCTTCTTAGCTGCAGTTGCTGTGCATATACAGCTTCCTAAGAACGCCATAAACTATAAAGCCAATACGACGTGGCAATTTGTTTTAACGTTATTTTGTTAAAGAGATGCCTTGTTCATGCTACTGGATACTTTCTCAAAAAAGTCTCCTGAAGAGTACAACATTTCTTCTGCGGTTTGACGCAGGATCATTTGTGGTTATTAATTATAAATGAAAGTCCCTTAATCTACGCAGGTAGGAAGCGCTTTCCCTCGTTCCTGCCAGCACCGGCGGCTTCCTGGGAATGCCCGCAAGACAGAAAACTTAACACTTCAACTTGGAAAAAATCTGACCGATTAGATTTTAATCAACGATAAGCTAAAGAAAATCACAATTTTATAAGCTACTATTAGAAGTGGATAGCCTACTTAACAATTGGTCATTCTTAGTGCATCTGCAAATGCATGTCTATTCTAATCAGGGCAGTAGGATCAGTCCTTAAAATATGGTTCGTTTGGCTCATATTCACCATGAATGTTGGCCTATTGAAAAGGATTATGAAACTTAGGTAGCCTATTCGTATGTTACGGTAACATGTATTACATCCTCGTACACTAAAGCCTAAAGGTTGTTTTTTTTCGCCGGGCGGAGCGAAGTATCAAGGGCGGATCGAGGCGGAATGACCCCCGTCATCGGCAGGGTGTGATATATCTGACTAACCTGCGCTTTGCGCTCCATCCTGCTGAGCGTCGCTCCGCGAACCCGCAAAGAAACAGGTGAGTTTTCTGCTAATTAATTTTTATCGCTGGTTTTTCAGTACTGACCTCCCAGAAGTCAGGGTATCGCTGATGTATACCTTCTCTTTGTTTGAGCCTATTTTTGCAGGGACTCAAACTATATAGGCTACTAAAAAAATCGACTACTTTAAGAGAGACTTAAAAACCTTTCGGCTGATTTTAATATCTTGTATTTAACAACAAATTTGAGTGTTGGAAAAACCCGAGAATCTTTTCATGGTATTTAGTTTGTGGAGAGACTAGTGATTTATTTATTTATTAATTAATTAGCGTATTACTTCCTAGTCGCAGCTTCTATTAAACCGGATAAACGAGTAAACAGTAGTTTTGGTGACATGACGGTGATTCACCTGTTGCTTCTGATTCAGAGACGCACGCAATCATTATATTCTGTGGCTTTTCATTCCAAATTAATCAATGTTTTGCTGTTAGTAATATATTCGTCATTAACATGTATTTTATTTAAAGACATAAACTTGTGTGCGGTTTATATGGCGCCGCATTTGTACATAATGGATTTTTGATTGATTTAAAACAAAGATCGCATAAAATTTATATTTGAACTGGTGATCGATCTGTATTACGTACATCTTGCCCTTCGAATTAATCTTTAAAAAAAGGGAGCGGCCAGCTTATACGTAGGCTACAAATTTTGTCTTCGAACTTCCTTAATTTAGAATATGGCTTATTTTATTTAATATTATTTTTTTTTTGCAATAAGCCATTCGTTCAGATTTTATCTGCCGTTGTATTTCTGACTGACGGCCGGATCGGTCAGCACACGTCGAACACATACCATGAGTTTGTATGTAGGTCTACGTGCTTATAGAGTAAATATCTGATATTCTAAATATCACCTGCATAACTTAGTATTTACAAACATTTATACAATAAACGATTCAGGTGGTTTATTTGAAATTAGTGCTTTCTAGGGGTGTGACAGAATATTCACGGTTAGGTGCAGCAGGGAAAAGAATTTGTTTTGAACTTATATATTATTAAAACTCAGGTTTTCCAGCTCTGACGCATCTGATGGTGACACGCAAGGAAGCTTACGGCAAATCTGTATTATTTCATTATAAACCGAAAATTACCTACATCTAAAGTGTTGTGGTAGCTTGCAAACCTTACAGACTATTTACAAGGTAATAAAACTCTTACATAGGCCACATGTATATGTGTGTGCAGACTTGTGTTGAATTAAAAATCTCACTTCAGCCTGCTGACCAAAGTTGGCAACCGTGAAAACTGCCGATACAATCAGGAAATTACAGGAATAGTTATTCTTCAGACACATTACAAAAGAGCCGCTTATTTACACATTGTAAAAATAAACCTGTAAAATGAATTATAGAATATAACATAGCATTTAAAATGAACTAAATCCCGCGTTCTTTAATTGCTACCGAGGATGGCAAAATGGCAAAAGTACATCTAAGTGACATAGGGAGAATATATCTTGCAAATGTGGTTTTACGCACACACGCATGACGTCATATTCAGTATGTTTGCGTGTCGGATGTGTTGCCATCAAAATATGCGAGCCAGGTGTAACATGGCCGACATATTCTTGGTCTTAAAAACTACACTCTTTCCGGTGCTGATGTTTATTGGGTAATCAATCTACTCTCCAGCCGCCTATTGACAGCCCGTACCAGCATTTGCCGTAACTAGGCTAACTCACAGCCACAGTTAGCGTAATGTCTTCCATGTTAAACACCGCCCGTGTCAATAACTGTATTCATTCGTTTCATTGTGTATGGAACCGAAAATGGTGTACCGAACGGTACCTGAAGAATACGTGTGCCTGTACACCGCTAGTGCTGTCTGATCTTTATATAAATGTTTTCTTTTCGTTTTAGGTCACTGGCAGTGTTTATCTCTCGGTAGTGAGGATTCCAGTTGTGGATTAACCAATGTCTTCAAAGCCAAACGGGAGTCCTCCTCCCTATACTAACGATGATGTTTAGTAAGTTTTGCTTCATTGTGATGTTTCTGATGTCTTTGCTTGTTTCCTACCTTCTGCACTTTGATCATTACTTTTACACCGTCATTTGAATTCAAATTTTTTTCTGTATTTTTTTTTTTTTTTTTTTTTTTTACATACTCTTATGTGTGGATGTTTTTTGTGCATGCATTCAATCGTCACTTTTATCTTTCTGATGCTTTAAGTACATAAGGAGCTCATCTCCCCCCCCTTCCCCCCCAGCCATGCACCCCCAGATCTGTATGATGCAGGACCACCGCAAACAGCCTATTCCTATTATCCCGATGATGAGATCCAACACTTCTATCGCTGGACTTCCCCACCTGGCATTATCAAAATCATTGCAGTTATCATTATCATTATGTGCGTCGCCATCTTTGCCTGTGTAGCTTCCACACTGGCTTGGGACAGCAACATGGGCATGATGGGCTTTGGTGGCCTATCAGGAAATTATGGAGGAACCTCCTATGGAGGGGGCTATGGAGGGGGCTATGGAGGGGGCTACAATAGCTTTGGTGGTGCGGGCTATGGAGCTGGAAATGGCTACGGCTATGGAACCCTGGGAGGCAACTACATCGACCCCAGGAAGGGCAAGGGCTTCATGATTGCCATGGCAGCCATCATTTTCATTGCCGTTCTTGCGATCTTCATCTTGGTGGTGTCCCGGCAATATGCGTGCCGAACGCGGAAGTTCTACCTGATCTTCATCATCGGCTGTGCCATCCTGGCCTTCTTCATGTTCATAGCTACGATAGTGTACTTGGTAGCTGTCAATCCCATGGCCCAGTCTTCGGGGTCTGTGTATTACAGCCAGATCATGGGCTTGTGTGCTCAGTACCAGACCCCTCAACCAAGTGATATCTTCGTCAACCAGTATCTGTACCACTACTGTGTGGTGGAACCTCAGGAGGTGAGTTTACCATTGGTTATGTTAATTTAGTCCATTTTGATTACAGCAAATGGTAATTGACCCCCCCGCCCTCCTTCCCTATTGTCCTATTCAGCATAATTTAGCTGGGATGTAGAGTTCTCTTGATTTAGGATATAGGTATATATTAAATACTGTGGAAACTATATTGCTTGGTAAAATATAATATTTTTCACATTTCTGCATTCTGCTATTGTTAACTATAATGCAACAGTCCTGTGGGTCTTGTGAAAATGCCAGTTCTTTAGTGAGACACATTTCTCAGGTTTTTGAATGATTATGCTGTCCAGATGTCAACCTTCAACAGAGGGTATGTTTTTGGTTGATATCTGACCTACTTCCCCTGCAGGCCATTGCTATTGTTCTTGGATTCCTGGTGACCGCCGGACTGGTCATCATGCTGGTGTTTGCCGTGAAGACCCGTCTGGCGATCGGGCGGTATGGGAAGGAGCAGATTCTCTGGGACAAAGTTAAGGTTATCAATGAAGAGGATGCGCCGCAGGATGTGGAAGAATGGGTGAGTGTCGAGGGCCGTGATTTCATGTGAGATTTAAATATCAATGTTTTTTAAAAAATAACTAAATAAGGGAAGCAAAAGTAATCAAGGTTTTGCTTAAAGTAAAATTGTCCCTTTTGGTAATTTGGTGTGGGAAAAGTGACGCAAAAAAAAACCCTGCAGCTTTCTGTGAGGTTTTGATGGGACAGGGATAATGAAAGTTCTAGAAAAAAATCTTGGATTACTTAGGTGGTAGATTCAGTGCTTCTTAAAAGAATGTGAATCGGTGTGATGAAGGAGAAGAGGAATCCGACATGGCTGACCATACCTGTGTGTTTAAAGAAACTGCTCGTGATCTGTGGAGGGGGAGAGGGAGGTTTCAGATTCAGTTTCTGGGTGTGGCTTTTGGAGGTAGTTTCACGGCTGCTTCTGTTCCTGAACTGATGAAAACAAACTAAAGGGAATCTGTGACTCGTAACTACTGTTTTTTTTTTTTTTTTTATTATAATAATGTAATCCCACAAAGGACATCCAGTTATTGAATGTTTGGGGCTTTATGATGTATAATAATGAAACGTTGGTGTCTCAGTCCTGTTCTGAAGTCATAGATCAAGGTATTGACTATTGTTTTGTGGTACTTTTAAACAAAATATGTAAGTAAATTTAAAAGAATATGTAATTATCAGACTAACTTGAAGTTGTTTCTGCCTGTAGCCTCCTGTATGTGCGTATATTTTTTTCATTCTGGACTGTGATACCATCTCTGGCATTTCTGTTTGTCTGCGGGAACTGAAAAAGCAGCAGAACTGGTTTTGCAGGGCGTTCAGGCTACAGGGTGTTTACTATACAGACAGGCTAAAAAGCAACCTGACCCTTAGATACTGAGCCATAGTAACAAAGCCAGTGGGGGCATTGAAATTGCAGGGCAACTTCTGTAGGTTCTGCTTGTTTTTATATTAAAATTTCATGGAGTTTCAGTACAGTTTAATGAAATGGTCACCTCTGTTTTATAAATGTAAAATGATGGCATAATGAACAACATTAGCTGTACCCCACACAGGTGAACAACGTGTCATCTACGCCACCACATCTGCTGGCTGAGTATCCTGAAAAGTTTGGGTCCAGAAACCACCTGGATGACCACAGTATGGAATATGGCAAACCGCCCTACAGTTACAACCCAGAGTGAGTGAAAACCTTTCAAAAATAGGTTGCACAGAGGTCAAGGAAGTTTTTTTTTTTTGATACTTGAGGTGATAATTTTGCAACATTATTAAACACCTGATGGAAAATCTAAAAAAAAAAAATAAACATGCCAAGGCAGTAAAGCATTTCGTGGAAAGACACCATCTGAACAGGCCTGAACTTGTGTGGTGTTTTGTTCCCAGGTCTCAGACTTAAATCTAAAAGTTTGAGCTTGTGCCTTTCCAGTTCACTGGCAGCTACAAGTTGAGGCCTGCATGCATTTCAAGAATTAAGTGTAGCCCTGCAGCCCTGACTTTGAGGAATCTGACGTATTTGGTATTTTAAAAACAAAATCAAATCAAAGATCATCAGTAGTATGGCCGTTCTTTACACCACAGGACACCAAAAATCAGGAGTACTAGAAATGTGCACCACGTCTCACTGATTTGACGTGCTATATCCCTTATCCGTGTGTGAGACTGTCATTCTGGATGAGCCAGTATTTCCACTTCAGCTGTAGTACAAGGGGAAACCAGCATGAATATTTACTGTACGGGAGTATGCTGTTAGTCATTCAAATGAACGCTGATTCCCTGTATGGTGAATATATCAGCCCAGTGTGTTTTAAATTCAGTAACATTTAAGAAGTAACTTTTGAATGTTAGGCTCTGGAATTTTGGATTGTAAATGAGTACAATTATGTAGAATGAGTGGAGTAGGGTGAGTTTCAGTTCCTAGTTGTGATACTGGTTTCTTGGCTAGATATCCCCCCCAACAAACTGGGTAAATAGAGCAGATCTTGGTGCAGGGTGAGCGGTTTTCTTTATTGAAATTACCTGGAACATAGATCATATTGTAATTATATAAACTAGTATTGTTTTTAAGTGACTAATTTACTTGTCTTTCCTCATCCAAACCAGCACACATTCTATCTGAATGAGGTATTGTATTGACACAGTATGTCTAAAGGTCTGCGACTGTCATTAAAGTGCAAAGCCATATAAGCTCTTAAAAGCCGGAAGGTGCCGCTGACATAATTAAGCCTGCAGTGAGAGTTTTTATAAAATTAGAGCATGAGATTCAGTAACTTGAATAGTCTTCCAACCCTGGACATTGAGAGCCAATGGCCTGCAGGTTTCAGAGAGATTTTAATGAAGCACCCGAAGGAATTCCAGGTGAGATGGCTTGCAACCAAAGTCATTTGAGTAAAGCAATAAAGAAATTCAACCTCACCTTTATTTTTATTGCATCAAAAACCAGAACAACCTGTGGCCCTGAGAGGTGTGGGTTGGGCATTCTTAACTTGTGTAGAGTTACAGCTGAGTAAGTCTTGGTTCTAGGTTGATGTGTTTGTGTGGGTGTGGTTTTTTTCCCCTCCAGCCTGGCCAATCAGGATACACTCCCACACACCTTGGGTCCCTACAGCAGTAGTTCTAGCTCTCTGGGGAAGCCTGGGAAGAAGCCGAGCGGACGGCCCTCACGCACCAGTGGCTATGACACTGCTGAGTCTGGTGATGAGCTGGATGATGATGAGTTTGATGGGTAAGGGTGGGGGGAAACTGTGACTGCATTTGGGTGCATGACACTTATTCACCAATTGTTAGAGAAGTACCAACAAAATTGTCATCCCAGAAAAGGTTGATTTTTAACTGTGAAATTTGTCTTTTTAGTGAGTTTCCACCCATTACTACTGAACAGCAGAGGCAGGACTATAAGCGGCAGTTTGACAAGGACCACCAAGAGTATAAAAGCCTGCAGGCGGAGATGGACAACGTCAACAAGAATCTGGCTGAAGTGGACCAGGATCTCGACAGCCTTGAAGAAGGAAGCCCGCAGTTCCTGGTCAGTTAGTTTCTGTGCTGCTTGAATACTAAAAAGAGGAAAGACTTCTCTGCCTTTTTCTCCAGGGAATATTCAACATGCTTGCCAAATTTAGGCTATGGTATAGAGCCTGTATTAATTAATAATAAGCAACAGTACTTGAATGATGATTACGTGGTGCTTCTGAAGATTTCAGTTTTATTTGCCAGGACACCTAGATCTTGATTCAGTACTCTAAATTTGGTAGTTTTAGTAAAAGATGTTGGAAGCTGTTAAAAGCTGTTTCTTTCTTCCAGGACGCCATGGATGAGTACAACAGGCTGAAGGAAATGAAAAGGGTATGACTCCTCTCGCTTTTTTTTTTTTTTTTCTTCTTCAATGAAATTTTGCTTAGAAATGCTTACATGTAATCTTCCTCGTTTACAGTCTTCGGATTACCAGACGAAGAAACAAAGGTGTAAGTATCTGAAAGGCAAACTCTCGCACATCAAGAAGATGGTCAGTGATTTTGATCACCGAGATTAACCTCTGACCCTGGACTTCAGCCTGGTTCGGCCATTTTCTGGGTGAACGTGTCTTACTGCATCGAAAAGATCACTAAAGGGCAGGTCATTGCAGTGAGGTTTTTCTTTCAGCATAATAGTATTCAAACATATCAATTTATGTAGATCTTCACTTTTTTAAATCTCCATAAAAGGAGATGTACTGGATGCAAGTTTGACACATGAAATGAATTTGTTTGACAAAGCAGTTTTTTATTCACTTGTATAAATGTTTTTTTTTTTTTTTGTAATGTTGATGAATACCAGTGATTTCTAATGTCTAGTACTTATTGCACAGTTTGAACTACTACTATAATCTCTTGTAAACTGTAACTATGGAGTAGCATGCTGTTAATGGGTTTCTGTCAGTGGCTCATCTGGAATTCTGGAAACTTCCGCAGAACATTACTCTGTACCCATTTCTGGGTTTCACTGTGAAAATTGAAACTAATCAAAGTCTGCTGCAGTGTACTAATTAGTCTTTTTTTTTTCTCATTTCTTTGTATGTATTGAATTCTACAACATTTTGGTTTATAGAGTTGTGCTGTAGGTTTTTAACATGAACGTATATCATACCCAAACTGAATTTTGTACATTTTAAAGCTCGTTTTGAAGTGCCTTTCGGGTTTTAACTTTTAGGAGACTAACTGCAGATGAATGGCTCCAGTATAATTTTTACCAACTACTTTATATTTATTTTATAAACTGGATTAATAAAACTATTGAAGTCATCTTTTGTTTCAGTGACTATATATAGGAAATGTTGTTTTAAATGAAATGATTGCCGAACCTGTATAATCCAGTCCTTGTGCAATTTTCTGAAATTATGCAATGGACCTTTTGAGAATGTATGGCTTAACGTTTCCTCACTCATAGCTGGAGTCATAGGGTTAACTGGGAGGAGAAACCAACAATCTAGACTGGCTGTGATTCTTAAAGTAGCATTCAAGTGTATGCAGTACAGAAACGGGTGGCTTTGGCCTGATGGCCTGGAGTGTTCTGTATTTTTCCATTTTATTATATTAAAAAGCTGTTGTGTGTAATGGTCAAGTGTGTAAAATGCAAAATGTAACCACTGTTTTGAGGAAGAACATCTGACAGATTACTGACATATGGTTCATAGCTTCTACTGGGGAAATAGTGCTGATTACTCTATTCATTATCTAATCAAATGGCTTAAGTAAAGAGGAACTCTCTTTATCAAGACTGCCTAGCAAGACCCAATTGCAGAAAGCCGCTGAATTAGCTTCATTGTGGTAGAAGTGAAATGATCAGTTTTCTTGATGGGGGGGTTTGCCTAGGGCCCCAGAAACGGTAGAGCCAGCCCTCATCTTAATCGCATATTAGTGCTAAAACATATGGGTTTACCTCGTGATTAATATTAGTTAATGGAAATGTTTTTTTTTTTTAAGTTTCACTTCTGAAATGTCGACCTTTCAAGGGAAAGATGATAATCTACCAAAAAATTTGAATTGGTTAGCTAATAAACCGCATTACTGATGGGAACCATTGCAGACAAAATCTGAAAACAAAAACAAGACAGGCAGAATTTTAAAAAAGGCTTTTGTTTTTAATGTGTACCACAGAACCTTTATACCTTTTTCAGGAATTTTGTCTAATATTAAAATAAAATTCAGGAGGAGGACCTCCTAGCTATTGAACAATATATTCAATAAATTTTACAGTTCTTCAGAACAGTCAGATCTTTGCAAAAAATTGTCTTCGGCTAAAAGTGCTTTTCTTCATCCAGAGAATAAACTTCCATCAAGCAAAAACTGAAAAATGATCCAAAATGGCCACGTCCAGTAGGCCCTTCTACCTTTAACAAGCTGTTATCCCTTCTAGGGGTTTTCCGACCCTCTTGAAATGGGCAGCTATTCACCCTGCTTTGCATTTACAGCCCCCTGTCCTGCGAAATGTTCCTGTCCAGCCAGGCTCTGAGCAGAGGCAGGTTCTTGTCCATCCAGCGAATGTTCTCCTCAATGCTCTCCAAAGTCTGCTGGATGCAGCGTAGCCCAGCCCCGCGCTCTTTCTGCAGCAGGCCAAAGAAGCCTCGCACCTGCAATGATTAGCAGACAGGCCAACCTGCGGTCACACCCAATGGCTCTTTGCAATTACGGATAGTCCATCGAGCTTTACTGCCCTAAAAATTACTAAAATGCCCTTATTTGGTCATTTCTGGTTGTTCTTTAATTTTAAATAAAATTCTAAATAATTTTATTGAATTAGGATGACGGTAGGTTTCTTACTTTTCCCCAACTTAGTTTGTTGTTTTGAGTATTCCTAGAGCTTCAATGATCCATGTCTTATATCAATTTTACTGGTATATGTAGGACAGGTTAATATTTTGAGCAGAATTATATATAATGTATCCAGTGAATTCACGTCAAAACAGTGACTATGCATCCTTGTGATGGCATGACTACATAGATGGCAAACGGGCCCTAACTACCTGCAGCGAGTTGCTTAGGGCCCATTTCCAGTCCCTCAGGAGAGCAGCGAGGGGGTGTCTGCCAGAGGGGGTGTCTGGCTGCGCCAGCTAACGAAAGCAATCTACCCCGAAAGAAAGGGCTGATGACACTGAGCTGGCCAGTGCTACCCTTATACTCGTGTGTGTGTGTGTGTCAGCAGAGCATGCAGCAGGCCTCCTGGCCAGTCCATGTCCCAGGACAGAGCAATGCCAGCAGACTCAGAGCATTGTGTCAGACTGAAAACCTGGCAGGCAAGAACTGAGGTACGGCCCTCTTGTGGTGACCCTTCACCTCAGCCTGGGCTAGTGCTCAAGCCACCCGATGGAGTGCGGAGGAACCAGCACTTTAATTTCATCAGGCCATGCCGTGGTGGGGTGGTGCATGAGAGTATGTGCGGCCTGCTGAGGGTGTCTGACTGGTTGGGTGGGTATTGCCCAAGTCAGATCCAATCATAGCCTGGAAGCCCTTGCCATTATTTTGAGTACGTACTTCACCCTGTGCTGCCCAGGGACACACATTAGCCACAGTGCTGGGCTTTACTTTGTCTTATTTTACTAATGGTGTGCCTTCCTAACAGGGCTGGGGCCATTCCGCAATGCATTCATCAGTTCCAATCCAAATCAGGAAATAGAACTGGAGTTGGAATTTAAATCTCCCTGAAATTCAAATTCATTTCCAATTCTCTTCCCCATAGTTTTTTTTTCTGATCCCAACTCCAGTTCCATTTCCTGATTTGGATTGGAATTGATGAATGCATTCCGGAATAGCCCGAACCCTACTTCCTACAAATCTCTTATTCTGCCCTTATCCCTTCTCCATGCCCTAACTCCTCTACTGCTGCTTTCCTACAGCCAGGACCCTTTGTAGGTAGGCAAATATTTTCCGTCATCAAATACTATCTGTAATAACGCTGGTTGTCTCTGGCTGTTGTCTGTATATAGGAGTAATTATACTCTTATTTATCCTGTTGCTTATTCTAGTTTGGCATTTGCACAACATGGCTTAATAACATGATTGGATAGTTACCTCTTCCAGCATTTCCCTGGTGGAGTATTGGTTGGTGACACCTGTCACCATGAATGCAACGGTAGGAGAGCCAAGTTCAAACCTGAGAAAGGTTAAAGGTCAAGCATGTTACTGGACACTATCACCAATCTCACCGGAGGTCCAGCATCAGCAGGACAGAAGCTGATTCAAGGTTAATGTTGAAAAATTTGAAGGAAAACAGTAAGCAAAGGAAAACTGAGGAAGCGGGAGATGTGTAATTCAGTAATGCACCCACTTTTTCACCAGTATTTCCCAGTTGGTCCTCAAGAAATCCCAGGCATGCTTGTAGCCTTTTGGGTTTTTGCTGACAGAAACCAAAAGGCCGGGAAGATCCTGTGTCTTCAGGACATCCCCGGCCAGACCCTGTCCCATAATCCTGTGTTCACATGAGACAAAAAGTAGAGCTGTAACACAGTACTACCAAATGATAAAAGAAAATACACAAAACATTAGTTGCCCATTTCCCATTTTATCTATGACTATCATGCCATTCATGTACACAAGCATTTTTCTAGAAGGGTTTAGGTCCACTCATCTTTAGCAGGCAAGATAAATAAATACAAAGTCACTCTATAATAATTTATCAGCATTTGTACCCTGACAGGAGCAGAATTATATACGATAGAAACATAGGTCAGGATTACGCATTAAATGATTTCAGAAGCATAATACCATATGCAAAACGTACACCGCATGCTATGGCTGTTCCGATCACTAGATATCAATCCGATTAAACTTACAGAAAATTATATTGCTTTGACAAATGATGAAAGAATGGCATTGTACACCCCCAACAAAATATATCAAAGCTGGTCTGGAAGCTCATGGAAGCCTAATGCCCTACTGACACAGTTTATGGCTCCAGAAAGAAGATCAAAAGAGATGAAGAGACAAACCTGCTACAAAGTAACACAAAAGGCCACTGATGTCTGAGCTGAACAAGAAAGCATGACTCACCACTGCAGCTTATGTGGCAGCGGGCTGATGGACAGGGCTGTCTTGATCTGGCTTTTGACAGAGGGGAAGAGAGACTGTCGGTACTTCTCGAACAGGAAGTCCCAGCCCTCATCGGTACGTGCCCCCACGGCATACACTGCCAAGCTGACATCACTGGGCAAACTGTGATGGGGAAAAGAGTTTGGGGGAGAAGAGGCACAATCATAAGGCTTGAAACTCTTCTTTAGAGGGAGACCACACACACACACACACACACATATTATAAATATATATGTATTATACATTTGGTTATATCTAATTAAATGAACATCGTACCCATTTATAAAGGTAGATCATACATTCCTGGATGTCATACCAGTCCTACACAACTCCTATGCTTCAAAGGCCAAACAAAATAAGAAATGTCCCGTAATTTGCATGCAAAACAGCTGCATCCTCTTGGATAAACATCCTTCACATTAATACAACAGTGCCTTTACCCAGCATGCTTTGTGCCACTTTATTAGCTTCCACTCTCAATATCACAAACGTTTAAGGTCCTCGCCAAGCTTCCCGCCAGATTTGAAAGGCCAATTTACGGCTCATTTGTTTAAGCTCTACCCAATACAGTACGACTGGCGAGGAAGGAGAGCTGACCTGAGGGTGCCATTGGACTCCCTCCACTTGCTGAACAGCTGCGTAGCAGTGCGTATGCAAGGCGGGTGCCCGCGAACGCAGGCAAAGAGCAGCAGGTAGCTGCGCAGCATCCGCTGGGACACTGAGCCCTCGTCGCTCCAAGACTGCTTGTCGATCAGATCCCGGAACAGACGCACAATGTAGCCCTGCACACAGACATAAGCCAACACAGCAACAGCGTGACCACCAGCTAATGCCATTTGAAATGCGATGGTATAAAATTATAGCAAGCACCACAACTCAACTCTAAGGAAAAAGTTTCAAAATCTTCACGAGAGTCAACATCTCATGATCTCATCTCCTTCTCCTTCAATAAACCAGTAGAATTTACTCCTAGGTGAAGACTAATTTTCACAACTGTGGAAGTACTATCAGCAGCTATACTGAGATTTAACATTTCACAGAACTCCTGCTATTATCAACAGTGGAAGGTAGTCTTTCTGGAATGGAGACCTTCATCTGGTTCTCCAGGTCCTCCATGTCCCTCTTCTCCATGAGCTTGTAGAGGGGCACCAGCTCACCAAGGCCCTGCGTCACCGGCATGATCTCAGTCTCCTTACTCAAGTAGAGGCTCAGATCCAATGCTTTGTCAAGGGCTACCTTTCCAATACTAAAACACAAGATTAGTCCCCGGGTTAAGACAGTCTGACTTACGGACAACTCATACTTATGATCAGACTGCCATAAAGCCTATTATATTAATGATTCAGGTTGAATACAATGGTTTGTAATAACAAAGCACGCACTATTTTGTGACGCTCCTGAAAACATTGCGCGGCTTCAGCGGTTCATTAGCTTGACGTACAGTAAAGTACCGTAAGTAGCTACTTTGATCATTAATGTATAATTATTATGTACCGAATTGTTATTTACCTACAAAGTCAACTTAAAGA